CTGTCAAACATTCAAAACATCTATCTAGAATAAGAAAACGTCCTGTCAAACATTCAAAACATCTATCTAAAATCACAAAACATCCTGTCAAACATTCAAAACGTCTTCTAGAAGAAATAGACAAACAGCTGACCACTTAGTTAGGTTAACAGAATCAGTTTTTCAAGCATTTAACAGGAATCATGTAGCAGTAGGAGATTTTGATTCCATCTGGCATAATGCACCACTCTACAAGCTAGCAAAACTAAACCTACCGTCAAAAATAATCCGTTGGACAGCCAGCTTCTTATCCGACAGGATAGCCAAAGTTAAAATAAACAATGAATTATCTAATCCCTTCAATTTAGAAGCAGGAGTACCCCAGGGTTCGGTTATTTGTCCACTTTTATATATTCTATTTGTAAATGACATACCATTCCCCAAGTTATCCTCTACACAGTGTCACAGTATGCCGACGATGTTGCTGTATGGAGCACGTCGTGTAACCCGCTAACAGCCGCTCGAAAAGTTCAAACTACCTTAGATGCTATAACAGCATGGTGCAACAAGTGGAGAATTGTCTTAAACCCCCATTGTCTTTTATAGATGTTTTGAACGAAAAAAGAAAAAATAGTCCGGTTAAATGAAAACTTTATGATACCAATATTACATTCAGTAAAACTGTTAAATTCCTAGGTGTAACACTCAACTCTAAATTATTATGGACCGACCGTATTAACAATATACACAAAAATATGAATCAAATATTATGTTTTCTAAGAAAGTTTGGATGCTACCAAACAGGATGCAACCCAGAAACAATAGTATACATCTATAAAGCTTATATGAGACCCCTCATTGAGTATGCCTGTATGATCCTTTGCAATATGTCTAACCCTCTTTATCATAAAATCCAATCATTATAAAATCAGGCATTAAGAACAGCTTACAGATCACCCAGATACACACCTCTAGTATACCTAAACACAGTTAACCCTATTCCACTAACCAAAGAAATTATATTAAAACTAGCATCTAATTTTTACAAGAAATCCATTAATCACAACACATTAACTTAGGAATTTTCAAAACTATCAATTACCCCAGAAACTTGGTGCACCAATATATCTCCCATGAATTTAATAAAAACCATGCAACACGCTGACGTTGACAATGATTTAGTGTATCAACCCATATATATTTTTGTTCATTAGCTTAGGCACTATCCGGATAGAATATTCGGCATTCAGGTAGTGAAAGTGGGTTTTTCTCGGGGCAATCCCGTTTTCCTCCCATATCAAAATTATGGGGATTAGGAATTTAAGATCCGCACCCCAACATTAACGTTTTTTTAAAGTGTAAACGTTGTAGTTTCCCAAACCAACCAAGAAGACACATTCAACTAAAGCACCATTACTATGATTGGTTCCACCTATGTCTCATAGCCAGATTTAAAAGTTACCTTGATTTCTTTTTATTTTGTTCATTTATTTATTTTATTTTTATTCAATTTAAAGTTTTTATTTTATTATTATTATTATTTTATTTTTTCTCTTTTTTACTATAATTATTATTATTTTTTTCTCTCTTCATGATACATATAGTCCATGAGCAGGGAGAAGAGATAATGAAATACATAGAGAAATACAAATAGAGAAATACATACACTCAAATTTGCAAAAAATCTAAAGGTGTGTATGTGGAGAGAATAAGTTTATTTCAGTGATAAATCTACTGGGTATTATTTTTATACACTTTTAACTGCACATGGGTAAAAATAATATAAAAACCCAGAAGAATTATAAAAATCATAAAGTGCTCAATTTCATTTTAATTTTTGTACAATATTTTACAATATCTTTACCATTAGTTCTCTTTCAGAAGAAGTACAACATCTTACGATAAGCTTTGTACTTTGAAAAAAATAGTTTGCCCAAATTTTGAATTGTGGACAATGAAATATAATGCTTTCACTTTTGTTTTTACAACAGTATGTTTCTAAATAACACTATGTCCCCTTAAGTATAACAAAATATGTAATGTGGTGATGTTCAAAAAGTAATTAGCTAATTGTGCTACATAAGGCACAATTGCTGTGCAAAGCATACATAAGTGACTGATTAGATGAAAAGCTAAAAAATAAATGATTAAGGTTTACAAAAGGGCACTTAGCATAATGGTTATTTTAAGAACTTATGAGTGGAAGCAGAATACAATATTTTAAACAACACTACATCTGCCATATTCAGTGCTGATGAAGCCTTTCATCCAACATCAAAATTCATCAGGCCAGCTAGGACAAGACAATATAGTAGTGGCCCAGATTGTATACACACCATCAACTTTCATGAACAACAACTGTTATGGTATGAACTAGATTAAGTTAGTGAACTGTAATTACTATAAATTTTAGTTACATCATTTTACAAATTAGATTTTTGGATAAGGATTTTTTGGTTAACACAGCCTACTTGTTAGACTCCAATGTCTAAATTTTATAATCTTGGTGTTTTATTTTATCTCTGGATCTAACAGCCTCCTTGAAACCTAAAAATAGAAATTTTGAAAGGAAAAACAATTGTTTATATTCTTGTACTTCATGCAATATTATTATTATACATGAATCTGAACTCATCAAGACTGGACAAATTCAAGTCTCTAATCAATATTTGCAAACATATTGCCCTTTAACTTTCGAGCGAGTTATTTTAAACCTATGGGTAAAGTAAAATGTTAAGATTATAAAGGTCAGACCTCTGGGTCTAATGTAAGACTAACACTGAACTGTACTGTAATATAAAATTTAAGGACAATAAGGAACTTGTTAGCCCATAAACTTAACTAAACTTAAGAAATCAAAGCCAGTCCTTATAATTTACATATTTACCTAAATTTCCCTTACATTTACTACATCCACCACACCTGAATGATAACTTTCAACCAGAGTAAGATATGTACTTAGAGTGAAACCAACCTGGACTTCAGTATAGCTAATCAAACATACTTTTCTTACATTTCTACTTAAAAAGATAAGAATGCATCATTTCATCAGCCGAGTACCTTTGCTGTTAATATTTGTGGCTGTAGTCTCAGTAATATCTCATGGTTCGGCCAGCTTAGGAGAGTTAAGTTATTCCTAAATATGAAACAATCTTTATAATAAAATATTAATAATAAAACAATAAACCAAAATAAAATGTAATGACACTGGATATACTAAATAGTTTAATCAACACTGTGAACAAAAGATACAAATTAATATACCTTACCTAGGGAATACAGAAACACTAGCTATATGCTTCAAGTACTGTTGTAGAAGAAATTATTTTGAAAATTCTAAATGAATTGTTATTTAGGTCAAAGAAAATTGGTTAACTCAAATCTAGAGTACGGCATCAGAGGGAAGTTATGTCTGTATTCATAATGTTACTGTTTCTAATTTATAGCAGTAATTTTCCCATTGTACAACCAAAGTAAATAAATTAAGATAATACCTGAAATATCGATGAAAATGTAACAATGTTAAATGTAATACAAAGAAAACAACATGCTGAACATAACACATGGTGTGTCTAACAAACCTTACTACTTTAACATATCTCTGTTGCAATCACATAGAGCTGGCTACGAGAAGTAATAAAATGTTATATCTTCCCTAAAACCCAAAAAGAAAACATGATAAGCTTCTAGAAAGATAAAAGTTTCATAAAATAATACATAATACAGAAAAATAAATGACAAAAAAAGAAATCATGAAAACTGATGTAATTAAACTAATGATGTCTTATATACTGATCTGCTAAAATTAACTATATAAATAATAACTTAAACCTATATATCTGCAAACATGAATGATGTTCAAAGCTTTACTATAGTCTTTCTTAGTAAGATCTGTAAAGTATGAGAGTTCTTGTCCGAACAAATACAAATATGCAACTCGGGGTTTGAAGTTACCTCCCATTAGAATTTCCTATATTTGTTGTAAGACATGTTGGCTAAAATACATGAATGTATTATCAAGTAAAAAATACATGGCCTGCAAGAATTCATTTAATGTGAAACACTGTCATAGAATGTTCTGTGTTTCCTGACAAAAAATAGTAGTAATTTAACTGAATTATTAAATGACCCTGAAATTGTTGACATAAAACTATTTTCAATTCTACCAATATGAAGACTAGTGTAAAGATTACTGAAATCAAATGTTTCTATTGTTATAGCTTCAGACCCTTTAATTCACCTCTTTACATTCAGTAGAATTACCAACGATTATGAACAGATCAACCCTATCTCTATGGGTCTTCCTATGGTCACCGGTCAGAGGCCGGGTCATCATGTTTGTAGACTCGCATTCAAAATTTTATTGAGATACTGTTTTATGAATGTATGTATATACGTTTGGTATCAAATTTTAATCATAATTTAAAGTTTAGTATGATCCTTTAGTTAAGTTCTTAATTTAAAAGAAAATAGTAAAAAAGAAATCCTAAATATTGATTTTTGTATGTTTTTTAAATGCAGCATTGGTTCAAATTAGATGTTTGTGATGTCCAAATACAAAGTTTAATGTTTATTATGAATTAGGAACTCAAATTACCAATAGTGACAAGCTGAAATATAAAATAAGAACCTCCTATCTTTTCTATTTGCTGAGGTATCGCTCATGTACTGAAACACACACAGTGGCCCCCACCCATCTCTTTCCATTTTTAGAAACACGCACACCTACTTCTGTCTACAACATGTGAATAATCAACTGAAAGCTTAAAATGTACCCCTAGTGGTTTTCTCAGCCATTTTGAAGTATAATGACATCAACTCATTCTTTGGATCCAATATTTCAAGATGGTAAGTTGAGTCTTTGGTCTGCTTGAAATTTCAGCTTAGTTACTAAGCTTGATAAATTATAGTGGAATTCTATAGCAATGATATAGTAACTTATAATTTTTTGGTTATTTGAAATGTATACATAAAAACCTAAAAAATTTATTTAATTTCACATCCTCCACATGTGAAATTTGATAAGGCTTAGCAAAATATGGTACGCAGCAAACAAGTTCAAAGTTTGTAACTAGAAGAGATAATTATTTTCTACAATTCTTTATTCACTGTTCTATGTTTTAAGAAAAATAATTTTAAGAACTTCTTTGTAAATAGCAATAACGTATATGCATATATAATGTATTATAACTGAAATGTGACTATTTTACAAAATACTAGTGCACTAAATCACAGCCAAGACAAGTCATTTTGTAAAGGTCAGTTTTATATTCTTGGATGTAGTAACACGAGTGCACGTGCGCCACATCATTGCAACTTCAATAATGTTAGCCAGGCACAGCTAAAAGGTTAATATAATAAAAATAATAAATATTTATGAATGTATAATGTTATGAGATTTAAGCTATTTAAACTAAATATTTTTGTCTTCATGTTATAATTTGTAGTCATTCTAAAATGAAAGAAGCATAATTTATATTTATTTCCTACATTTTGAGTGAGGTTACGAATTGGGTCAAATAAACCAACCTGTAAAGAGATACAGTAGTGAAAGTAACAGATATAATATAGTTTTTTCCAAAAAAATTTTTTGATAATTATCTGGAAGTTATAAAGATTTTGCATGTGAAGTTTGAAAATGTTCTAATGCATAAAAGTATTTTTAAATTTAAAATAAAAAATTACTTGGAATGTTGGATAGTCAACATTCTGAAAGAAAAAAATTTACAAGAAAATCTTTAATTGAAAAATCTTAATACTTAATTTAAAAACCTGATATTTTGTGTATGAAAGCCTTGTAACATTTGCCAATAACTTGCAAACTTTTGTAAAGGTATGCATATATTACTCTCATGGATACTTTCATGTTTACAAGTCGGGTGGATTCCACCCAGCCCATAATGAGAGGGTTAATACCAGTTCACTCTTTGATAAAACTGCAGTATATTCTTTAATGTATTTCAGACCGTTACCTATCATAGTTAATAAATACTTGGTCATAGCATTTTTAATGGTGGCAATAAACCTGTATTTGTACTATGTCTGATGTACATGGGAATCCAAAATAATTTAGATTTAACATTATTTGATTTATCCAAATGTAAGTAAAAGTCTCATAAAACATAAATTTAAGTTTCTTAAGACTTCAACATACAATTGGATAAATCAAATAATGTTATACCTAGGACATTTAAATGTGTTTCTTCTTTATATTTTCTATATTAGTCTTAACATGTTGATAAACATGTTACCCAAAGTATTTAATGTATTCATATTAAAACCCTAGTTCTTTACATAGTTATAATACACAATTTTTACATAGTTTTACCTCAGAAAGAACACTGAATTGTTGGAAAAAGTTTAGAAGATGGCTACTAGGATGACACCTGTGATGTAAAGGTTGTTGTATGAGGACAGATTGAGATATCTGAAATTGTTTTCTCATAAAAAAGAAAGAAGAGTTAAAGGATCTGATTTGAGATGTTTAAGGATGCATCATCTCTTTTGTACTTAATTATAAGTATGGTAAAACTAAGGGACACACATATAACTTTTGGGAGGGTAATAGTCATCTTCAGTTATGAAAGTTTTATTTTTCTGACAGGGTGTTCTGCCTTTAGTGTAGAAGTGGTGAATGCAGTATGTTTAAATAAAGGGAGCTTACGGAAAAGTTTGATAAATATTTTAATGATAAGGACTGGCTTTAAATGCTTAATTTATATTTTAAAGTTTAGTGGATAAGATTGTCTTTTCTTCTACATTTTATTATATATACCCTAACTTAAGTACCAGTAACTGAGTAAGACAGTGTTACTCTCAGATTAATATATATACAGTATAACTAAAATCTTAAGAAGAAATAGTAAAATAAAACTAAAATATACAAATATGTTGTAATCAAATACAATGCTCCTTCAGTTTAATGCAAGTAATTTTAGTTGCAAAAATTACGATTTTACTGTAAAAAAAGCAAGCTCCCAATTTAGGCCTAACACTAACAGACTAAGCTAATGCTTCTCAAACATGTTTTCACCTGATTTATTAATTTCACTCACCACTTGCACTTCCTCCGCTCGTGCCAACTTCGTCTAAACCAGCACTTATTTGCTGAACCCATTCCGCTAACTTTTTCCCACTTTCTCGGAGCTCTCTCATAGTTTCTTCAGTTTCTGTTTTCATTTCTTCAGATTCTAAAATGTTGTTTTATATACAAAAATACCAGACTGAAATACGTATAAAATAATCCAAACTAGAAACACCTTACGCAACTTCCAAAATGAAATGCAGTGTTGTAACGTCTATACAACCTTTCCTTCCAAGCTTTGTAATTCTAGAATCAAACCATTTAGGAAGCGAACAAGGACTCGATCAAATAATTAAACCCTGGCTCGTACATACAACGAAACGTACACCTATAAACGAGGGTATCTCGAACACACTGTGTCGCCCTCCTTGAGGTGTAATAGCAGTTAAATTATCAAAATAATAATTGTATATGACTTATTTGTGAATAACGTTACGCTTGTTTTTATAAAACACAAAGTGATTGATTCTGTAAAAATAATATTTAATTATCACACACCTTATATTTTTGTATCATAAATAATCCCAGTGAACCCTATTCGTTTGATTTTTAAAATATATTTCTTTGCTCGTGAGAGTCGAAACAAATGTTTACTAATTGTGGGAAATTATTTCTAAGCAAAATTACTGATAAATATTTTTATCTCTTCCCTTTCTTCGGCGTGTATGTACGTTATTAATTATTTAAATCGTTTTCTGTTAGTTCTCCGGCTAAATTTGATGGCAATTTAAGTTTTGTTTCCTAAAAAAAATGCGACACTGTCAACTGGACAAAGAAAACAAGTTTTGGGCACGTTTTCTTTATCAAGATCTACTAGGAAATCTTCGAGTGAAGATGTACTTCAAGAACATTGTTTTAGTTCTATGGAGATTAATATTGAGGGAAAGAAAGCTGCGGAGGTGAACAGCCTAATAGAAGTGGCTGTACTTTACATTTGTTTGTAACAATAAAGATTTGGTTCATTTATTCGCATTTGCCCAGATTCATTATTTTAAACTTAAAGAAACTCAGTCAAGTTATATTCTACAGAATATTTTTCTTCTTTCTTCATTATGAGTTTATTTGTTTGATACTTATAGGGAAATTGGCTTTACCGGAAAATATCAAAAGTGGACTGATTTCTCTTAAAGTAATTGGGTAGTTAAAGCTTAAGATTTAAAATCCAATTAACAAAATTGCGAATCGGCGAAGAAACCAGAGCAATGTATTCTCGCTCCGTTAATAAAACACAACAGACCAAAAAGAAAACAAAACATGTATTACAACTTTATAAGGTACACCTCAAAATCATAAAGGTTACAAATGAAAATTCATCACAAAATCAAAACCATTATACGGGGAATTACCCTTTGAAATAAAAAACAAGAAAAGAAAAATAAACAAATTGAAGCAACCCTCCCAAGGCGTAATGAATTACATATAAATACATATTAGCATCCTCCAAAAAACAAATCAAAAGTAAAACATAGTGTTACGTCTCCGTTTGTTAATTAACTTTCCGTAACTTCGTTTCCGACGAAACTTTAGCGACACAAGTTCTTTACTTAATAAAACTAGTTTATTCTTTCCGAATATAACTCTGCGATACACTTAATCTCAATATTCGCGCTAAAACAAACAGTATCACGAACGAACGTTAACTTCAACAATACCCTGTGACTGCAGTTCAATTACTCACTGTCTACACACACATTACATTACCTTTTTTTCTGTCACGATTGTCACCCTCTTTTATATACCCGACTACCCTATATCTAGTAAATACTAGAGCATTCGCCAAAGTACAGGA